TAACAGTAAAATCTCTTCACAAGCACAGATTCATATAAAGGCTACCGTTTAAAGTATCTTTAAAAGTAATCAAACGTCTTTTCTAATGCTTCAATTCTTAGTTTAAAAAGAACATACGTTGTAACATAAAGAGGCTTATGAATTTCTGCTAAAAAAGTTGAAAATGTAGTTATTCAACTAAGCCTGAAATAGCTGAATTATCCTCTGCAAAGTTAATAGTATTATATGACTTAGAAACCGTGTTTCTAAGACGACGCTGTAAACATTCGTTGTAACTGATTTCAAAACCAAAATAAACTTATCACTGGAAAGTTTTCTTTAGAAATCTGGTTCGCCACTTTTTGTAACTTACTGGCATTTGAAGAACTCACTTAAGCAATACTGTAATAAAATTAATGAATTTAATAAGTTTTCAAAACGATAAAAGCTTTCATACACAACTTTTTACATTTTCTTTATCTTTGTTAGAGACATTAGCACAGATCAGATGCACATCAAACTGGTCAGAAAAAAAAAAACAACCTTTACAAACTTTGAGGTCGGTTTCATTGAAGCAGAGGCCTTCATAATCATCCGATTTGAAAAGCCAGCCTAATAAAAAGAGGGAATTATAACATACTGATAAAAAGTTGATTAAAAGTAACTATTTTTGTAGTATTTTACAGAAGGGTAATTTTGCTTTTTACTAACATCTGCAACAATTTCTGTTGCTTCTTAGTAACAGCTCCATGACTGTGTATGTAATTGAACAGCTTGTGAAAAATCAGAAGAACAAAAAAGAAAAAAACAAAAAAAAGTCTGTCAAGAACTTTTTTGAGCATATTTTTTTTGTCATATTCTAATCTGAACAAAATAATTTAGACGAATAGACGACAAGTTGGTTTAATCTTCACTTTTAAAGTCATCTTATTGGAACTATCAAGTGACGACCAACTGAAAAAAAAAAAAATAAAAAAAGTTGACGAAATACATTAATCGATCTTATCAAAACAAGATTTTGTCTAACTTTGTTTTTCTTATCTTCTTTTAAAGTTGAACTAATTTAGTACCAAATTGAAGAAATGGATCGAACCGATTGATTGATAAATTAAACTAGGTAGCTTTCTTTAGCAATTCTTTTCGAGCATTGATTCTACGCCGTAACTATTTTGAGTTAGAACATTAAAGCTTCAAATATACCCATGTTTTTATCAAAAAAAATAATTTTCGCATAAAAAGTTAAAATATTTTGCTTAATTACATTTCAATTTGTTCAGTTAAACAAAAGTATAAAATTTTAAAGAAATACAAATGCTTATTTATTCTTTTATTTTATTTATTTATTTATTTTTTTTTTTTGCACATAGTTTCTATATTGTTGAAAAAAAATTATAACAGAGGAAAAAAAGTAAGTTAGTGGTTTACCACTGTGGTAATATATGCTTAAATGTCACTTTTTCAGTTACATTTATTTGAAATATTTGTTCGATTGAATTAAAATTACTTACTGGATGATTTATTAGCAAATTTTTTTTGCAAATATATCTGCTGTTTGGCAAAATCATTGATCCACATCAATTCTTCAGCTGCCTGTTCTATTGACTCCACTTTGATGTCCATCTGTAAACTCTTCTACAGTTTCTTGTCACCCTAAAAAGAAAAAAAACCGATAAATTTTTGTCTCAATTAATTTATAAAAATTTCTAATATTCTGTAATGAGTGCATAAAAATATTTGTTAGCCAAAGCCGACAATTAAATAAAAAATCTTTTTTTTTTTTTGGTGATGGCAAATTGTAATAAAAAACTGTTTAAAAGCCAAAAAAAAAGAGAGGGAAGACGGAGACAGTATTTTTTACAACAATATTCACATACTTCTTTTTTTGCACTTTTTTAGAAAAATTTCAAACAAAAAAACTTTTTTTTTTTTATCAATTTAATCTTTTTTATCAATAAACAACGGCAACATTGAAAACAACAGACAATAATCGACTGTCACTAAAGGTTGAAATGCAATGTAAAAATTTAGATTAATTCTGTTAACTAACTCAGATTTAAAATCAGCAACCTTAAAACTGAAAAAATAAAGAAGCCACATTAGATATTCCAATTGTTCTCTGAAAAAAATGACAAAAAAAAAGGAAGAAAAAGTTATCTAAAATTAAACAGTTTTACAATGACAAAAAAAAAACCTATCAGCTTGTTAGTATTTATTTGGTACTACCTTTCAAAAATATTTTTGCCAAATTTTATCCACAAAAATTTATCATAATTATTATTACGTTCAAATTTTTTTTTTATTTAAAATTTACTTAACTTTCAAAGTTAAAAAAATTTTTTCTTCTATACTTTTTTAGATTTGTTTGCTTCACATTGGAAAATGATATTAACAATGTATCAAAAACGTAACGCAGACTTTTTGTTCATTACTTTTTCTAGGCAAACGCTGTTATATCAGTGATAAAAGAAACTAATCATAAAAATTTTTAGTATATATTACAGAAAAAAAAGATGGAAGAAAAAACAAATTAATAAATAAATAAAATAGAGTATTTTTTCAAACAGTCGGCTAGTAAACGTCGGTAACAGTCTCTGCAGTAAAGATAGTTGATGAAAAGTACAAGTATTTTAATCATACTTATCACCTAAACAGTTATCGGTAAAACTGTCTTTGTAACTTTCATCTATTTGCCACACTTAATTATATGCTTTATTTTTTTGACTGATTAAATAAACTTAAATTTTTTACGTTTATATTAAACTGCATTGGTTCTAGACTAGACGTCTAATACTTTTTGAATAACACTCAATTATTGCAAAACTGAATTTATGTAGTCACCACTTGCATTGTTTTCACTGTAGAATACTTTACATTATTAAAAATTGACAAGTGTAAGTTACCTAAATAAAAAAGAAAGTTAACTTTGTTAAGTATTAATAATATATGCCATAGCTGACAGAAATTTTGATCATTATTTTTGTGTTATCATATATACTTTTAAAACTGAACAATTTGAATCTTTTTTACTAACAAGAATAAAACTGCTCTTCAATGCAAGAATTAATACATTTAAATGGAAAAAATTAAATGATTACGTAAAATATTAGTTACATTAAAGTGCTAAATAAGGTAAATTGCGAACCACTAAATAAGCGCTTAAAAAATAGAAGAAAAATGATCAAATATTCATTCCCGCTTGAAGCCAACAAAGCAAGCAGTAGCCTGTTTATTGCAAGCACTTAGGTTCTAGTATGGTACACCAAGTGCTACCAAGGTTTTTTAAGCCTAATTTTTTTAATACTAATTGATACCACCTCGCCAACTGCTTCATTCCGCGTTTACGTTAATCATTTAACAATGCCATTGTACAACACTGTATGAACCAGCAAATGCTCATATGTTAGAATAATCATAATAATAATAATAACAATAATAATAATAATATGAAGATAACAATAATAAGGCTACTATATTAAAAAACTTATATTTTAGATTGACATTATAATAAGGTTGTGTTATTGAATGAAAATATTTACCAAAGTTTACAACTTTGAAATATGGCATAATTTCAGTGATTGATTCAAATAAAATAGAGCATCTACAGCTTTCTCAGGAAAACACAAAGACGGTTTATCAGGTGAAAACTAAACTTTATTAAAACTTTAAAATTTTCTTTTATTTTAGACAAAGAGAACATGAATCATGGCATAAAAATGCTATATTTATAAGGCAAAAAAATGTATTTTTATTGCACTGACAGCTTGTGAGCATCTTTACTCGTAGAGTCAGTTAAAGGCAACTTTATTCCTTTACAGCAAACACAGTAACTACGACTTGATTCACCTAACTAGTAAACAGAGATCAAAAGTAAAGCTGCATAGTTGGATTAAAAACTTTACGCTATATTAAGTGTCAAAGAAAAAAAAAGCGAATAAATGACTGAAGAAAGTTTGAAGTAGTTTTTGTAAAAACATTTTTTCGACGCTAACGTGAACGATACCAATGGCTTCACGCTACACAAGGCGCACAAAATTCAAATTTAAGTTTCATTATAAAAGAACTTCACACTTTGACCACAGCAAAGGTGTGATTATTCTACCAACTTTTTGACTAATTTTTTAATACTGCTTTTACTCTTTCTTTTTTTGCAACAATCCTTTGTACACTTTTAGACTGTTAAAACTTTCTGCAGCTCTAAGTCATCGTTTTTGAAACTGACTTAACGAGTGCATACAATAGTACGAAAATAGCTTGAAAATTTCTTAAGCGTTAGACAAACTGGTAGGATTCAAAATGTTTTAATATATATTAGATTTGTTATTCTTTCAGACATTTCAACTTGGAAAGGCAGCTACTAAGAGGAAAGAACTTTGTGGCGTTGAGAAAAACATAAGAAAAAACGAAAAAAGAAGGTGGGGACAAATATTCAGATAAACCTTTAGAAACTCACTGAGAAGGCAATTAATTTGGTTACATTGCACTTCTACTTCTTAGTATTTTTGCAATATTGCAATATTTGGCTGTGCATGTAGACGCCGCAGATCTATTAAGAGGCCCCTTCGACAAGGATAAAAGAAGTGACGTAAAATTCGAATATCAGATCAACGCTGAAGCAAATTATTTTATATTTTAATTCTGAAATTCCCAAGTAAAAATATTTTTTTGAAGGTGGCACTGTGCGTTAGGCTGATTGAGCTTCCGAAGATACTACTTTGTTAAGTAAAGAATGAAGAGAAGACAACATGAAAAAGAGTATCCTATCAAAGGTTGGCTGTAGTAGACGGTTTCTTTGTATCTGTATCCGTCTTTGCCATTGAAGAAGAGAAAAATTGAAAGATAGTTCCACACCGACAAAAGTGAAAAGATGAAGCAGATATCAAAGATCTGAAGAACTGTGTTATTTTTTATGTACAGAAGGTTCTTAAATGTGAATTTTCTGTATTTTTTTTCATTTTTTACCATACTTTGTTTCTCCAAGTGACAACAACTTGATGCTCTCTCTCCTTTTTCCTGCTATACAGGAAGAAGACCATAAATGGCAGGAAATCAAAGTTTTATTTTTTTCGTACTGAGTGGGCTGAAAAAAAAAAGCTTTTTTATGGGGGAAACGAAGACAGAAGAAAAGCCTCCCAAATTGCTTGACCGAATTAATTATTGTTTCTAACTTTTCACTTCTACTTTTTGTATTGTCGCTTCTCGTATCCGTTTTGCAGAATAAACAAACAATCAGTAAGTCTAAAAGAAACAAAGACTACATTGGAATTAAAGAAATAAACAAACAAAATAAAAGCGTCCAGCGCTATTCTGCAGTACTTCAATTTTCACCATTAAAAAGTTATGGAAATTACAAGTTTGTTAAAGAAACAAGCAACTGAGGAAAGATTAGGTTTGTTAAGCAAAAACCAAATCGATTAGACCACAAATTCAAAAAAATAAAAAGCGGCGGCTACTATTGTCTAAACATCGTAATCAATCTTGTTTTTCTCCAATAAGAATGATGAAGCCAAATGTTGTTAACAAAAAAGAATGATGCCAAATATTTTACTATTTTATACGATAAAATTGTTCGCTTGGCTTGCTAAGGCGTCTTTTAATCCGCAAAAATTGAGAAACCAAGAAAATTTCTGTAGCTTTCGTGCAATTTTTGTCCTGCAATTTTTGGCTGTTTTTACCTCAATTGCATTGTCAGCGTTACGCAGTGAAGCATTTTTGCGCCACGATAAGTTTTAGAAAGTTAAAGAACCAACATTATTTTAACTAAAATACTTTTTAAATGACTTTTTGGTCGAGATATTGGGAAAGATCTTTACCAGTGATTACAATTAAAGTACTCTAATTTACCTGTACATTTTATCAATATTGAAAAAAGAAAAAAGCAGTAAAAAGAACAGTGTAAACCGCACAAAACGCTTTAGCAGCTGGTTTATTTTTGAATATTATTACTTAATTTGACTTAATTTCATCTTTTGTTTTCTTTTTTTGTGAATTGATTTGCTTTCTGGTGAAAACAAAGGCTGTTTTCATAACTATGCTTGAAAAAATTTTGAGCTTCTGTTGGCTTTTGCATCTGCAATAAAGCTTTATAAAATTAGAAAATTAAGAAGCCTTCTCAGTCTTTTCTTTTGTCGGAAGTTACAAATTCTCGTACAAATTTTAGCTATAAAACAAAAAAATTTTCATTATTCTCCAAAAAAAGTTTTAATTTTGCAGTTTCTGAGTATTTTTTTTCCCAAAAATAAACAGAAGCATTTTCTCAAACTTCGTCAGCGTCTTATAATGCCGGGCAGCCAATAGGACTTAAAGTGTTTCATATTCTGTAGTGGTGTATTATACCTTATAATATTCACTTGAGTAACACCTTTAACTCATTTCAATTAAGTAGATTTATTTTATTCTTTTCTAAATGTTATTTTTTTTTACCCAAGCATCAAACTGCAAAACAGGTATAGCAGAAAATTAGTTTTTTTCAACTTATAAAATAGATGCATTTGCTTTTTCACCTGCTTTCTAAGGTAATCACAACTTTATTAACTGTTTTCGTCTATTTTTGCTCAACGTTTGTCGATCTCTTACGCCGTGTTTATAAAAGTCAATGAATTGATAGGTCAATATATGTAAAT